TCCCACACTTTCGCCGAACTTCTCGAGGCATTCATTCCTGAAAGTGAAGCTCTGATTGACTGATCGGAGCTCATGATTGCCGCGGAGGAGCCAATACTTCTGGGGTGACATCACTTTGTGGCACAAGAGGTAGAGAATGCACGCAACGCTGTGCTCTCCTCTGTCCACATAATCGCCCAGAAAGTGGAAGGATTGGCCCAAACATGTCGGTCCCATCTTCCACAACGAGCACTCGTATACCATAATGTCGTGGATGTCGCCCAAGACATACACCGGCGATGACACCCGCACTACACGCGACTCTGCCATAAAAACCAGTTTAACCTGAGATAACAGTCGGTCGATGCGCTCCACCAGACCCTGGCGTTCATTCCTCTGACCCCAGTCCACAACTTGTCCGCGAGTGCCCGCACCTGCCTGTCCTCCACCACTGACTCCCCGTCCACTAGCGGCTGGCGAATTACCATATGCTCTAAGGATGTCTAGTAAGACGTTAGCAGTGGTGGAGTCGACGAAACACTGGTCGGACATTCGGCGCAGACTTTTGCCCATTCGCTGGACATCTGATTGGTTGCGGTTCTCGAGCGGGTCGACCACCAGTCCATCTCTCGACAGTTTCACCGAATGCGCGGCCAAAGTGTACTTCTTTTGGCGGCAACGCATACAAGTGCCCGGAATGGAGGCGCCGGCCGTGCCATCGCTGGCGTCTTTGGTGTAATAAATTCAATACGATAAATATAGTTAGTTTTCCGAGTATACCGTTTTGTATATAGTTTGTGAGTATATATATTTGTTTGAAAATAAATTCACTTATTCTGTATTTATTGTTTCAAATATTTTATTTGTATCTCATTTAAGATTATGTGAATTATAAAATTATAAAATATAAATTTTATTTTATATTTTTGCCAATCAATTCTACTGATTCCGTACTGTAGCACTGTAGTACTTTAGTATTGTAATTAATATTCTGTTGTATTTATGGAAACTATATTCTGTACTACAGAAAGTGTAAGCTATTAAATAATACAGAATTATATTAATTCATGAGATATTAATTGAATTGTTGTTTTAAAGTTTTAAATTCAGTTTGAATTTCAAACCGACATTTCTTCAATTCAATTGAATTCACCAAAGAGTCACTCATTTCCTCATATATTCTCACATAAGAGTCCAAACGATGTCCAACGCTATGAACAGGAGGTCTTTCGACAACAGAATATGTGACGATTTGTGTGAAGTATTGCTGTCTTACGAGACATTCACCGATCGATTCCGTCACCAATCAGTCTCTCAACAGTTCCAGAGATTGGTTTACAATACTGTTAAAGACATAACGATTGATAACAATCTGGTGAACACAATGACTAAAGAAGTTTTCCTCGGGACACAAGAGTACATCGACACCAATCGTATGGCAATTATGATGAGAAAGTGTGCAAACATTGAGCCCATCGATTTCACTCAAATTAAATTGAAAAAGTATTTTATTGAAGGCATCCATGAGTTAAGAGAAAATTAGTCCAAATTGAGGGAACTGTATCTCTGGGACATCGCCTTTGAATCGAATGAATACTTGTTCACAAATTTTGGCGAACAGATAATCCGTGTCGAGAGTACTTTGAATACAAAAGCACATTATTTCACTTATTGTCCAAATCTTCTGTATCTCTGTGTCCAAGAATTTTCTCATGCCTTTGATTCTGAAAACCAATTAGTGGTCAAAAATTTACAGACATTTAAAATGTTCCGGTATTTTACAACCAATGCCTCAATGTTTGACTCATTCATAGCCGCCAATCAGTCACTCAAACATCTTATCGTCTATAATATTCCTCCGATTCTTGAATCCAAAGACAGTGTCATTCAGTTCATGAAACAATTGACTCGATTTAAGCAATTAATTGAATTGAGTCTTAGATATGATATCTATGAAAATGATGGAAATCAAGATATTCTCTCGTATTCACTGTACGAGTCGTTCAAAGAAATCGGTATAAAGTGTGTGTCGATCAAGAAGTTGTCAATAGATCTGACGACAAGCCATCCGTCAATTAGTGACCAGTAATACCTGAGTTAGGCTGTAAAAGTCCGTAATTTTGCAGACCTAAACCTATAACCAAATCGCGTCTCAGACTGTTTACCGAAGTCACTTACCCTAAGTAAACTTAGCTACTCAGCTACCGGTGTTTGTATATCACATCTGAGACTAATCTTGTATCCAATGAGTAGGGAATTCATTACGAAAATTCATACAATCTTACCGGCCCTACAATATTTGGATATCATAGACATTAGTGACCGACTCTCGGCTGAACACGAGATTAGTTTGAATGTGTTCTCAAGACTAACACTCCTTCAGACACTTATTATTTATGGATTTAATGCAACAAAAGTCAATGAGTCTGATGTGAATGCATTACATAAGAAGTTCCCTAAACTCGTATATATTGAGTATAACAGTATTGAGTATAGTATTATATCACGTAAATTACAATTATGTGTTAAATTTGATTCAAATGTAGAGTGTTCATTTATACATTTTTTGAAAATAAATTCATTTATTTTGTATATTTTTACGTTCCATGAGTATGTATTATTAACTCTTATTCATATTTTAATTTATCCATTGTCATTATTTCAAAACATTAATACAGTTACATTAATAAAAATTTAAATAAGTTAAATAAATGTATTACTTGATATTGTTTGTGAGTACTGGTCTATTAATTCAGTACATCATTGCAAGCACTTTCTTAATGATTGAATTGTTAAGAAATATTTAGAATATAATTTTTTAATTACTTATCATTTATTATATTATCTGGGGTATTATTCTCAATGAAATTTATTTTTTTATGTAATTTCTAATCTTTAATGAAGTTTTTATTAACTTAACATTAATTGAAGGAATTTTAACATAACTTCTCTCTCTCTCTCTCTCTCTCTCTCTCTCTCTCTCGCCTCCCATACCTGTATTTTGAGGTATAGATAAGCTATACTATTAGTGGTAAGGGCTGTGCTAACAAACTAATAATTCAAAACTAACCAAAAGTGTTGATACACCCTAAAAGTTATGTCACTTTTAGCACTAGACTATATATCATGTATGCAATCGCACCACGGGGTACCTGTGCTCAACAGCAGCCCATCAACAAAAACATAGTAAATATCACTTGTCTTATATAATACCCAACGCATGCAATACTGGCGCTCGTAAGGGGAGGGCATGTATGCCTCCTATACGACACCAATGATACCACACATTATATTTCCATAAAATTACAGAATATGTCTTAAAATAAAAAATATTTTTATTCCTATTCCCAAAGCCCTCTCCACCAGAAAAAAATTATATATAATATATATTTATCGCCAAAACATTTTTCTATTATATTTTATTGTTATTATTATTATCCGTACGTTTAAAATGCGAATAATTTTCGCCAAATTAACATTTATTTAGCGAAAAACTTTTTTAACTGAATTTTCTATTAAATTTTCATTTTGTGTTTTGTTGTTTTTTTTGTACCATGTTATGTTTTTACGAATGGATCGCAATAAATATTATGTGTTTTTATAAATAATATACTATTTATTCCGCTCATTCCTGTTATGTAAAACACATTTTTAAGCCGTTTTTCGCTGAGATTTTGTTTTTTGTAGTGAAAAATCATTTTTTATTCTTCCTTTTTAGCGCTAATTTATAATCACTGGACGCGTGTATTAACACAATCACTAATTTCGTGCATTCAATGCCTCATCGCTTACACCACCAGAAGTCACAGTCAATGATAACGAGAAGATGGGCTGGATTTGAGAGACGACGAGAAAGACTTATAACTCAAATATTGATGTGTTTTCGCCTCTCATTTAAGGGGTCCGTCAATAGCGCGGCACAAGACTTGGGTTTTGACTTTTATTTTACTTTAATTCGCGTATAAAAGCATCGATTAGTCGTGCGCTCGGGTGGGCTCACCAGAGATAAAGTTTTTTAACACTCAAAAGTGTTTCATAAGTATTTTCATTTCCGTCATATTTGCCACTATTAATGATCGCCAGCCATACGCCCGACAATTGCCACTCGTTTTTCAATCGCTGTATTTTCTGTTAAGACTTTCGGCTAACAAAACAAAATCAACATTTTTTGCCGTATTTTGTAATCTTTCAAGTTTTCCATTCATTTTCGTAAGCTTTTTGTTCGTATGCGACCACTACTTATGTGCTAATTATGGCGTTTAAGCCATTAAACAAACTGTTTCGACCCTGGTTGTCCACTTGCGATCAGTCGACTGTTAACTATTCCGTCAACTCTTTCTACAAATGTCTGGATGTGTCCGCAAATGACTACTTTTACAATACACAGCATTATATGAATTACTACGAGTCAGTACTGGCGTCCAAACCGTGTTGGTCGCAGTTATCCAGCTATGAATGTCTGACCAATTGTGTAAATCTTAACAATAATCTAACGGATCTATTCAGCAGACAGAAGACATCTCGTGTTATGTCTCCACTGAATCAGACAATCACTTCTCAGTGCTCGTCAGTGACAACCAGTGCCTCAAATGGTGCGACAGACAGAAGTAGTGCCGAAACTAATGCCAATAATAATACTAATAATAATAATAATAATAATGTGAAATTTCAAACCAAGTGTTCTTAGTTTTCTGTTGCAGGCTTCGCGAAGGTGACAGGCGTGACAGTGTATCGGAAGTCATTATTACCAGTCGAGTTCCCTGTGTAGGCGTGGGTGTGGCCATACAGGTGACAATATTTGTCTGGATATTAGACTATAGTTTTGTAAAATAAAGCATTTTTTATTTTATTGTTAAGTCTTATTATAAACTTTTAGTTCCTATTAGTTTTGGCCCAAATTGTAGTCAAATAGACTCGCAATCTATTTATTAGTTGAGAAAATATTATTTTTGCAAATGATTGAGTATCAATTGACGTGGAGTATTTTTTAGGCTGCCTTTAGGTCAATGTCAACTCACATTTTAGCTAACATTTAGTACTAAACCCACATACTGTACTGTACTAAGTTATATAACTTTAAGTTTATTTTAAATTTGAATACTTAATTGCAATTAACATAAGATATAATCATTAATAATGTGATAATACTTACAGTCCACTCGCCGGTATACAGACGCTGGTGTCTCTAACACCGTTTAGAAAGTGGTCTTTACTTCTCGAGTGAGCTGTGGCTGCATAAGTGTGGCCTTAGGCAGGGATAAGAACGTTACATTGCACAAAACGCTTCGGCCGTAAGGATCACCTCAAGAAACATCAGCGAACTCACGAGAAACGCTTCTACGGCTTACCAGCTAATAGTATGGCCTTAAATACAGCACTTCCCTTACCATCACTAACTCGGTCCTCATCTAACACGATGTCTGCCTTTTATAACTCAATGTATTTGCAGATTAGACAACATTATTAGTGCTGCGAAACTTATGACATGATTTATTGATGTCTAGTATTTTGTTTGAAAAGCACTCAATTCAGGACTTTTTATATAAACAATATTTTTTGCGCTAAACTCTAATAATATTCTTATGTATTCTTATTATAAGTTATTATAAACATAATTTTGCTCAAAATTAACTGTATTTTTATTTTTTGTAAATAAAAAGGTTTTTGAATAAAGGGAGAAGTGTTTTGAAAATTGTTTTGTTTTTTAGTTGCAATCATTGAGACCTTTTTAAGGGAAGACACAGAATCTGATATTTGTTTTGCAAAAAATACATTTTGTGTTATAATTGTGACATAATATAAGCAAAGGACTTGAATTATGCAATGCTTTGCACTTGAGCTCCAATTTTTGTCATAACATTGATCTCTCCCCCGAAAAAATACATATTAGAAAGTGTGGCACAAAACTCACAGAATATTCAGCATACTGTTCCTCTTTAGCATACATAACCCACTGGCGAGAGTGTCTCACAAAATTGAGTTTGAATGGGGTTTTTAGATCAATTGATTCGTGAATAGAGTCACAAAAATATTATTCTTTCGCCGAATTCATTAACATTTCGCTCAAGAATTTATGATAAGAATTATAAAAATATTATTTTTGTGTTCAATTTTGTGTCAGTTTTAGTTGTTTTTTAATAGAAATGTATTTTCCGATAAAAATTGTCACTATTTTCGTGAGTTTTCTACTCGTAATCAGTGACACGACTGTCGTCTTGAGGCGACGGCGTGTGTATTACAGACCGTCGGCGGCGCCCCGCGTGAGACGAGTGCCGGTGACCGGCCATCGGATTCCTGAGGGTACTGTCAAACTGGTGGGCGGACAGACCGGTTGGGAGGGCAATGTCGAGATCTACCACATGGGCCGCTGGGGCTCCGTATGCGACGATGAATGGGATTTAGTGGACGCACATGTAGTCTGCCGGTCGTTGGGCTATACCAACGGCGCTCTTATGGCCACAAACAACGCTCAGTTTGGCCGCACAAGGAGTAAGTGATCCGCAGATTAATTATTTGCTACATAAAGAGATTGAGGTTTGAATTTTGCTTCTAACAAAAAACTTATTTTTATTCAAAAAACTTTTTGTTTTATGGCCTAAGAAATGATTTAATTATTTGTGATATATTTACGAGACTGTTTTTCATGTAATTTATATACGAATTGAATTAATTTGCGAAAAAGTAAAAAGTTTTTCTCTCATTACAATATATGATTTGTAAGACATGTATATCACTAGACAAAAGTGTGTATCAGTGTTTGATTTGAATCATATATTTTTTGTTTGTGTGTTGTGTCTGATGTGACACCAGAGCTGATTTGGATGGATAACGTGTACTGCAATGGAGGTGAGCAGGCATTGGCCGACTGCCAGTTCGATGGCTGGAAGCAACACGACTGCACTACTAATGAGGCGGCGGGAGTCATATGTAAGACCCGATCCAACGATACCACCGGCGCTGCCAACGCTCGCACCACTGGCGCTGTTGCGCTCACCACTGGCAGCAACAGATCCACCATAAACAGCACCGGTAGTGGTGGTGCTGCTGGTGGTAGTGCTCAGCATCTTATAAGCAACGACGAGCCTCACCTCACCACCACTTCCACCACTAAAATACGAGTAATTCATTCATTCATATGTATTAATACAAGTCATAAATAAATTTAGTATTCAGTCATTCATTACACACAGAGTTTATAACATTATTCTAATGAATGCCTTCGCGTTTAAAATGAGATTTAATTTATTTCGATATTTATATCATTTTCTTAACAACAAAAAAGGCATCATTTTTAAGCACAAAATTTATTTGAATTTTAAGTAATCTTAACGCACAAAGAAAAACAACAAATCTGTTTGCCGTTTGAAATATTAGAAGCGCTGGAAGGAAGGCATAAATATCCGTCTGAGCGGTGGTCGCGATAAACTGGAGGGCAGAGTGGAGGTGAGAGTGAGGGGCGATGGCGAGTGGCATCAGGTGTGCGGTGATGGATGGAGTCTCTTGGAGGCGATGGTTGTCTGCAGGCAATTAGGTCTGGGATACGCCGCTCACGCCGTCCAGACAACTGTATTTGGCGGCCGATCGCCACATAATTTATCGCTCGTATTGAGTGGTGTGCGCTGTAAGGGCTACGAACAGAGTCTGTCCGATTGCGATATGAACGCCCTGGGCGATGGCCACCACCACTGCCCCACCAGTCAAGACATTGCCGGTGTTATCTGTACGTCTGGTAAGGTTTCTATGTCTATTGGTATTACAGGAGATGTTATGTTTTACACGTCGCTGTTTGGCTGCTATTGTATAATAGCTAATGAATTAGTCATAAGAAATGCTTATTTTAATTTATAACTCACTCGTGTGTGCGATCCCTC